CGTATACAACACTTATATACCATGTTTAAGGTTACATAAATAATCAATGAATTTTATTTGATATTCATAAAATATTCATAAATATATGCACATAAAATGATGAATAAACTCTTTTATTAAATAAATAATAAATATCCTTTTACATCTCATGCTTCTAGGACACTATTCCTAACAAATAAAGGCAAGATGGTGAAGACTTGTGGCAGTGAAGATGCTTTCAAGAATAAGACAATTTCTCGTGTTAAGGTTGATGAGAATTTGAACTGAACATGTTTCTTCTTATTCAAGTTTGCATTGTCTTAACCCATTAATAAGGGGTGTGATGATGAGTGTTGAGATTGGATACCCAAATGTGTGAGTTGAGAGAATTTAGGTCAAAGTGGAGATTCTTGGGTAAGTGTCTCAAATTAGTTTTGGTAAAGTTACTATTTTGTATTTTTTAGGTAAGTTATTATTTTCTGTTTTTGGACAAGAGTTCTTTTATGGCTCATCAGGAGTCTATAAATAAGTGTTTTGTATAGGCTTTAGGTGGTCAGAGAAAAGTGCATGAAAGAGTTCCTTCTTTTAAGAGAAAAAGAGATAGACAAATGATGTAAGAGGTTTTAAGTAGAGCCAGAATTTAAAAGATATTATTGAGTGTGTAAAGTTGTTAGTGAACGTTTTCTCCCTCTCTTGTGGATGTAGGCAATTTTGTTGAATTACGTAAATCTTTACCTTGTATGTTTTTTTATTATTTTTGTTTTATTTATTTATTTATTTGTTTGTATAAGTGTAGGTGTGTGTTTTACCTAAAAATAAAAACTGAAGTATTAGGTACGTGTCAGTGGGGCTCTTTTATCATTCAGATAAGCAATTGAAAAACAATTTGGTCCATGCTATAAGTTCTTTGAACGATAAATCATCATCAAAGAACAAGGACTTTCCATTTAGAAATAAAAAAAGAAAAAAAATCATCAAAGAACATGGACATGTTGAATTGTTCAACACTTATCGGTTATTTAATTAATGGACAGGTCGGCTAAAATAGTCCAAAGTCCAAGTAGGATCCTAGTTGTTATTTGTTAACCAAAGTTATAAGCAAGCCTGCCGTATAATATCAATTTGTTCTATTTTTAATAATCGATCGAATGATTTGGGGGGATTTTAAAACACGGTCTTCAAAATTATTGCACTTAATTATAGAAATTTAGAAAATTGTTTAGTCCCCATTATCATAATTGCTTAAGGCATGTTTAGTGCACCGTATTATATTGTATTGTATCGTATCGTATAATATAGTGTTGCATTGTATACTTTTTATATAATACGATGTTTAGTTGGTGATAGTATTAAATATTATATTATTTTTATCATTATAATCTATTTATGTATTAGTTTGTGATAAAATAAAATTTAAGCCTAATCATAACCTAATTCGACTCTAATCTTGACCCGAACTCAATATTTGGAGGAAGAAAGGGAGAAAGTAGAGTTGCTACATAAGGTTCTTTTTGCAAATTTTTTTTTTTTGAGAATGGGGTCAAATTGTAATGTTCAAAAAATTAAGGGGCAAAATATAATTTAAAAAAGTTGAGGAGTCAAAATATAAATTTTAAAAGTTTATGGGTCAAAATATAATTTTAAAAAAGTTTAGGGGTGAAAATGTAATTTTTAAAATATATAAACCTAACATTACTCCAGTCCCGAAACTCGACCCCAACGTCAGTCCCAAAACCCAACCCCGCTGATATTTGTGAAATATTTTATATGGGTTTAATATGATATTTTAAGTTAAATTGCATAATACAGTCTAGTACATAGGTTTCTTTTTCGTATTAGATATCACACTTTATATTATATTAATTTAGAATCTCGTATTAAATTATACAATGTATAAATATCACCAAACATTATATTATTATTAAACAATACAATATGGAGTATTTATACGGTGTACAAAACATGCTCTTAGAGTAAGGCCGACAATATGAGTCATGACACGACAACACGACTTGAAAACGACACAAATTTCGCGGGTTAGGGTTGAGAAAAAAGAGGTTCGGGTCAGAATTGGGTCGACCTGAAATTGACACGAAAAACACGGGTCAATTTCGGGTTGGATCCACCTAACCCAAACACGACACGAAACTCGTAAAAAACTAAAAAATACATACATTTTTCATTACATACTTTTAATTTTATTATGAACTTGTGATATCATGATAGTTATACTCAAAATCTTATACTATTATTTGCTTAATTTCAATGGATGTTATTGTATTATAGTGTGTTATGAATGTTAAGTTATTTTTGTAAAAAACTAAATAAAAGTATACAATTTTCGTGTCAATTTCGGGTTCACGGATCATTTTTGTGTCGTGTCGTGTCAACCTGTAAAGTAGTTGTATTGTGTTTGTGTTGCGGTTTTTAAAAAAATTCATGTCACGGATCGTGTTCGGGTTAACTGAAAATTTAAAAAGAAACGATCAAAACACGACAAGAACACGACACGTGACACGAATTACTACCCCTATCTTAGAGCATTATTAGGAATTGATTTTATTTTTATTTGTAGTTGATTAAAAAGGCAAATGAGTGATTTACACATAGGGTGGCCCACCTTTTTTTCTTGTTCCTTAATAGTAGCTTTTTTTTTTTAAGATTAATTAGTACCTCTTAAATTTTATGGTCATTCTCATTTTGTTATCTAAATTTTAAAAACTCTTATTTTGCCATATAAATTTTAAATTTGTCCTATTTAAACCCTTTTGTAAGATTTTATGCTAAAATAAGATGGAAAAAGAGAGGATCACATAGTTTAATTTTAATAGAAATTCAAATAAAAAGACCGCGTGATTGTATCACTCTCTTTTTTTAATATATTTTTAACATAAATTATAATAGAATATATTAAGTAAGAATAATTTAAAATTCATTGAGCAATATGGGAGTTTTTTAAGTTCGAGGGCAATTTGAAGATGACTCTAAAATTAAAATACACGAGTGATAGTATTTTTTTTTATAAAAAAAATTATGAAAATTATTGTGATATTTTCTAAAAATGTTTAACCGTAAAAAATTTAAAATTAAAAATTTAAATCAGTAAAATAAACAAACCCTTCGTATACTAAAACTGAGGCCTCGTTCATTTCACCAATTCGAGTTTTCAGTTTTAGGTTTCTACAGTAAAAAGATCTCAGAAAATGTCACATCTAACTTTTTCTACTATAGTAAAAAGCTCTCAGAAAATGTCATATCTCAGCTCAAATTGAAAACTCGAATCCGCGGAGTGAACGAGGCTGAGTTAACATCAAGCGGAGAACATCAAACTGGTCAATAAAGAGTTAAAATAGGAGAATACACAAATTAGAAAAAGGAAAAAGACATAAAAGAAAAATAAGTACATTTTACTTTTTTATTGGATATAATTTCCACGAAATCGCAGGTATCCAAATTTTGACCGGTAGTTCTGACTTTTTAAGGAAGAAATTTTTTTTTTCTGGGTACGTCAATAAAATTACGTAAAAATTAAAAATATATAGATAACAGTTAAAAAAATCTAACATACTTTACGTCAGACATACGTATTACAGAATCTCTATTAAAAAAAACCCTCTGTTTTAGGCGCTGAAATATTCTAAACTACAGGCATTAGCTGTTTGATTTTTTAGCAAACTATAACGTACCAAAATTAGACAGCATTAATCAACAATTTAAATCATCCTCAAAGATCACACACTATCAATGCTGCTCCTACACTAATAATGGCATTGTTATATTATGAACAGACTCCAGTATAGATGTACAACGATAAAATAATAGATAGAACAAAATGTCAAAAATAAGCAAATACAAACCAAGAAAGAATGACCTCTTCAAAATTTTAAATTGTTCACCTTCAAAATAATTGTTGATAGCTATCCTAAATAGTTATAATAGATGTAGTCTGACAATAGAAAATTCGTTCATTTCACTGATTCAAGTTTAGAATTTAAATTTTTTAAAAAGTTCTTACAAACAATCACATCTAACTTTTTTACTACAGTAAAAAACTCTTACATAAGTCACATCTCAACTCGAATTAAAAATTCGAATCAGCGAACTAAACAGACTTACGCTTAAGATCGTTTGATTTAGTAGCATTAAAAATTTAAGTGGGATAGAATTTAAAAATAGATTGTGTTGTATAGAAAAAATATGAGTAGTTACTAATTTGGTATACCTACACTAAAATTTTAGTGTTAAATAATGTCAAATAATAAAAAAGAAAAGAAAACTATTTCTAATTTAGATTTTCTTTATCATATTTCCGATATGCCTCAGATTTTTTCGCCTTTCCTTCTTTTAATTTTTTGCTTTTCTAGTTTTTTTTTTTTTTTTTTTGTTTAATCCAACTCACGCTTGTAATTCCCACCTAATGGTCTCTAGCGACCGGAGGGGAGAGTGAGGTAGTCCCCACCCCACTCCTTCATAACAAAACGACGACTAACGACCAACTCTTCTAAAGCCGTCTAAACGGCCATCAGTCCTAGCTTTTCCCCACCAGCCGTTAAAACGGAAAGATAACGCTTCTTGTGGGGGGCCCACTCCCACCCAAAGACCGACCCAGTCAGAAGGCCCAGTTGTCGCTTTCTTACTTCAAATCAAACAAGGCGGCCCAATCCACGCGCTCACGCGTCTACGAAGGTCGGTGCGAAACCAAAGCTCACGTTATTCTCGGCTATTCTTTTCCTCTCTGTCTATCTTTCTCTCTCCTCTCTCTTTCGCTCTCTAACCAGTCTCTCTCTATATATGACCCTTCCTCGTCGGACAAGAAGAAATTGAGCCCGTAGTGCAGAAGAGAAAACCCAAGGGAAAATAAAAATCCACCTCCTTCTCCCTCCTTCCGACAAGGAAGAAGTGGTTCCAAAAGAAAAAAGAGAAAAGAAAAACGATTAAGGAGGACCATTTCACGTTCAAATCTTTTGATTTTTGATTTTTGTTTGTAATTTTTCCTTTTGTATAAACCTTGGGGTGTTTTTTTTTTTTTTTTTAATTTTTCCTTTTGTATAAACCTTGGGGTGTTTTTTTTTTTTTTTTCACACCGGGATCCATGGCGACCGAGGTGTTGAGACCGCATGACTGGTTGACCGAACGGATTAGAGTCACTCCGGCGGCGTATTCTCGCCGAAAAAGCTACTATGGAAACCCTAACTCGAGTTCTAACAGCTATAACAATAATTTCAATAGTTGCAGTACCGCTAACCCTAGATCTAGCCGGAGACCCGCGGTGAGGCCGGAGAGGCTGCCGGAGCAGAGGCGGAGCTCGTTCTCGAAGAGATCGAGCTCCGATGACCTCAAGGCGGTGAAGACGATGGAGAAGGTGACGATCCTGAGGCGCGGGGAGTCGCTGGAATCGAAGATCAAGAGCTCCGGCGAGGCGGCGCTGAAGAAGGAAGGCGGCGATCTGGTCGTGTGTGGGATCCAGAGGCTGGGTCCGGCCCCGGAGATGGTGCCGAAGAGGTTGGGGATCGTGGATCTGAGGGTTCCGGTTGTCGGAAACTCCGACGTTTACGCCGGATCGGCGTTCGCGGTCTCGCCGGCCCCGAGCTCGCTTCCCCTGCCGTCGTTCTCCAAGAAGAAACAGGGACCTCCATCCCCCGCCGCCGTCATCGTCGACGACTCCGCCACCAGAGATCTGAGGCGTTTGCTTCGGATCGATTGAAGAAAACAAAATCAATATCAAAATCAACAAGGTGAAGATGCAAGTTTGAAGATCAGAAATCTCTCTGTCTCTCTCTCTCTCTCTCTCTCTGTTCTGCGAATTTCGTCTCTGTCAGGTTTTCTTTCGGTTTCGAGGTCTAATTCTTTCGTGGTTTTTTTCAAAGCGGAGATATATAGATCCGAAACCAGGAAATTGCAGAGCGAATTTAGATGTTATTAAGCCTTTATCTATCGTCTTCTTCCGGGGTTGTTTATGGGTTAAGGGGTCTAATCTTTAGTAAGGGAAAATTGGGTGGGTTGATATGTAATATTGGGGAAATAGTTTTCAGTTAAAAAATGGTTCATCTGGGCTGTGCATGTTGTTCTTCTGCTCTGTTTGTGGAATTTGTAAACGGGTAATATGTCTATCCTTTTTGTCTATTGTAAAGGAAGATGAAAATTAGGGGGCAAAAAGAAATTATGGGCAGAATTTGATATTTCTTAATTGCCTGTCTTCCGTTTGTGTTTAGATAAAATTTGTGTATCTCTCCTCTGTATTATGCAAGTATAGGTAGCTTTGTAATGGAGGGTGATTGCTGATTAGTGATTAGTCCTCTTGTTAATAAAATCATATAAGATGTTTTCAGATTAAAATCGTTATAGCTTTCATCTTCTTCTTCTTCTTCTTCTCTTTTCTGTTTTGAGTTTTTGAAGGATTTTAATTCCACTCAAATTGGGCATGAATTGATTAAAACAATTGGGCAATCATTATATTTTCTCTTATTTTGTATGTGTGAGATGAGTATTAAAGTGGCAATATAATTGTTGGGTTTTGTGACAGTTTTTTTTTTTTTTTTTTAAGATGAATGATGATCAACAAGTTCTTATCAGATTCAGTGTGGGTTTTGTTTGTTCTTTCTCTGTGTGGTTGGAAGGTTGGTTAGGTACAGGGGTGGAAATTTGTATTAGGGGTTGGGTTTGTGCTGTGTTGACACAAATATAATCGATATGTTTATTAATCGCGTTGAAATATAAAACTCAAATACTTTGTATATTAACGGATTGATACGAATAATTCAATTATTAAATCGTTTATAAACGTGTCATCTTAATTCATTGATTATATGTCAATCTGTAAATAGATTGTGTTAATTTATATTTGAATTTATTTTTAAATCTGTTTATAAAATAGATGATAAATGCATCATATTAATTTATTTTTGAATTTATTTTTAAATTTATTTATAAAATATGTAATAAAAGATTATGTATTTATATTATTTAAATATGACACGTTTAATAAATAAATTATGATAAATTAATTGTGAATTAATAAGTTAATTTAAAAATAACATGTTATTTAATCGTATTTTATAATTTTAATTTAATTTTAATTTATATTTATTTATAATAAATAATTTTAATTTAATTTTAATTTATATTTATTTATAATAAATTTAAATTTATTAATTTTATATAAATTTTAAGTCGTGTCATATTGCTAATCAGATTGTAGCTCTTAACTACCATTATAAGTTGAGCTGTCCCTGTAATGGGTATGGGATTTGCTCAAATCCACTTACATTGTTTTGAATGTCGTGACAGCTTGAGATCCCGGCTGTTTCAAAGGGGCATCTTTTGGATATTCCAGCGAGGACCAACAACAGTAGCAATTAACAAACGACAAAAATTGTTTCGAGTTAAAAGAAAAAAAGGGATCAGTTAGGTTTTTTTTTTTGTCAGATTTACATAAAAGTACGTAAAAATTAAAAAATATATCATGTCACCGTATTTAAAAATCTCTCAAAAAGAAAAATGATTAAAATTGTTTTGGTAGAAGTTGGTAAAAGATGAGAGAGTGAGCAATTTTGCTTTTTCTCAAACTTTTTTTGTTACCGATTTCTCAATCGGTGTGTAAAAATAGGAAAGCCTCGTCTTACTTTAGTAATTATTATCTCGTAATAATTATTGTTAAATTAGCATATTTTTTGAATTTTAATTAATATATACCTTGATGCAAAGTGGGTTTTTTTTTTTTTTTTTTTTTTCGAATGAGTGCAATCTGTGGATCCTAGAAGAAACAGCTTAACCTGTATGCAAAAAGTAATTTATGGAACATTTTCCCCCCCAGATTGGTTGTCTCAAAGCTGTTTATTTTTTGATAGCTGGAAGAGAATTTGCAAACACCGAGGAAGCGAAAGGAAGAAAAAAAAAGGAAATGAAATTGCAAACCAACTGCTTTGGAAAATGATTTTTAAGAAAATTGACACTTTAACTTGTTTTGGACCAGAATACAAATTCCAAATTGATGACTTCACATTTTTATTTGTAACGTAAATTAAAAAAGGAATCTTACATATTAGAGGGTCAACAACACCTATCGTGAGAAGGTGACACCTAAATTTCCTTGTATGTAAGGACAAACAATTTTCTTTTTTCCTTTTTTTTTGCTGTTATTTTTTTTTTAGTGAAAACAAACAAATTTTTATTTGAGTTGACGTTTGTTTCTTATATTTATTTTTTATTTTGAATCATAATTCATAGTTCTCTACAGTATTTTTTTTATAAAAAACACGTAAAACGAGAATAGTTTTGAATTATAATTTTGAATACATAAACTAAACGTAAATTAATTATTCACTTTCGATTTATTTGTATTTTAGAATCAAGATTAGAATTATTTTTGATTTATTTGTATTTTTTATGAGAGAAAATACTGTAACGAACTATGAACTATGATTCAAATCAGAGTACGAATCATCCAACCAACGTGTATAGCCGTGACTCAGCTGTCAAGCGTGTGGACATTGGCTTGGCTTTTTCAGTCTCTTTTTTGCGTGTGGACATTAGTCTCTATGGAAGAAATGAATTTATAATTACATAACAGCCAGTAAATTAATTATTCATTTAACTAAATACTGATTATTCTAGCAAAAAAACTAAATACTGATTATTTTTGTTTTGGTTTATATATAAATATATGTATGTATATATATATATAGAATGGCGATTATTTTGTTAAGAAAATCAGTTATCTAGTTAACAAATTGTAGACTTTTGTCTCTTTAATCAATTACTTACCTAATAACTATAACATCGTTAAGAAAATCAGTTATCTAGTTCGGAGCAATAATCAGTTTTTCTAGTTAACAAATATATATTTTTTTAATCATGATGTTGAAAAAATCCAGCCATTTCCTCAACATGGTGTGATTCTTGGGTGGGCATAAATCTTTTGTGTAAATTAGGCTTAGTACTACGAAATTTATGACCTATTTAGTTCCTTTAATTTATAGATTTGAATATATTTTTAAATTTATTTAAATTTTTATAAGAGAAAATACCTTTGTTGATTCAAATCTATTATATAAAACAAACAAAGACAGTTATTCATGTGTGTACCATTTTTAGGTGTGAAATCACTCAAAATCTTCGTCGTTATGACTCAATAGGCCCAACAAAATCCTAGGGTATACTGATCTTCTCTTCGTTTTAAAATTTGTCAGTGGTTTTCTGATTTCTAGTATCTATGTCGTTTCTTAATCTTGCTGTCGTATTGAAATTCTTCTCGTTTTATTGTTTGTTGTCGTTTATCATTTCAATGTAGTTTTCATCTTCTAGTTGCCTCATTCGTTTGTTTGAAAAATTCTCATTCGTTGTCTATGTGGGTTTTCATTTTATTTTCGTATTTTATATTCTTGTGGCATTTTTCCTTGTGACAATAAGTGTTGTTTCACGTTTGTTGTCGTTTTCACGTTGCCTTTGTTTTTGCGAGGTTTTTTGGCCTTTTCGTCTTATGTTTGATACTCGTTTGTTATTTTGAGTATGGTTCGATTTTGACACTGTTTGCTAGTCCTCCCGGTGTCATTTGGAAGTCGGTATCGTTTTCTGTCAGCTTTTTTTTTTTTTTTTTGGTGTTGTTCGTACAGTTATCGTTGTTATTAAGGGTGCATTTAGAATAAGAATCTGTATCATGGTTCGGATTAAGTTCGTGGCTCGTTACAGTGTTTTTTTTCAAAAAAATACACGTAAATTGAGAATGATTCTTAATCATATTTTGAATCTATAAACCAAACGTCTTCTAAAACTGCTTGTCGTTTTACATTATGGGCAGTTTCTTGTCGTTTTTGATATTGCTGTCGTTTTTTGTACTAAAGCCTGATTCATAGCAGGAAAATATATACTTTAAAATGGCTTGTCTTATTTGTGGCCAATGTGGGACATCGTTATGAGTCTTATGACTATAACTTGGCAGCCTTCTTCCTTTGCCAACTCTTTTTTGATAATCCAATTTTGGGGAGGGAAAAAAAAAAAACACAACTAAGGTTAAAAAAACCAATTACTATAACTGTTTTATTTTTCATATAATGTAATATAGATAATGGTCTCATATATAATAAGTATCTCTCTTTTGCTATACACACGCATATATGCATATAATGTAATATATATAATGGTCTCATATATAATTTAAGTCATGAAATGAAGACACACGGTTTCCAGCAAACTTGGTTACACGAGGGTATCTAAGAGATAGCAATTCCCATCACGCTTACTGAAAGAACAAAAAAATGAGTGATCGTGAGAAAAAAGTTTAGAATCAAAATTAAAGAGACAAGATGAGAGTGAGATGAGAAATTAAGAGTGAATTGTTATGTGAGATTTAAGGTAGAATTAAAGGGTATTTATAGGAGATTTTTTAGATTTTTTCGGATTGTGACCGTTGGGCCCTTCGCGGGGCCAACGGTCACAATAAAAATGGGCTGGAGGGCTTTTCCACGGGCTTGGGCTGGGCTGAACACTGGCCGAGTCCGGGCTTGGGCCAAACTAGGCTTGGGCCGAGCCGTGAGCCTTCACGGGCTAGGACCGGGCTTGGGCAGCGGGCTGAGAATCTGAGGGCCAACCCTAGCCCACCAGACTTGCCGGCCGGCACAGCCCGTAATAGTACCGTACTGGGCCGTGCCAAACCTGACACTGTTACGAGTTGGGCCGGGCCGTACATGGACGGCCCGGCCCATTTGACACCTCTAAGCTTACATGTTTTTAAGTGTAGTATATGTAGCTGGAAAGACTTGTACCGGCAATCTTATTGCCAACTTCATCTGATATATATATATATATATATA